TTTGGTTCGACCGGCTTGAAATTAATTAATTAAAATGATTCAAATTTTTACCAATTAAAGATAACAATAAAGACAAATCATGTACCAAATGCTGAAACATTACTGTTTTTCAAAATTCATCTTCAACGGTACAAAAATATGTTACAAAACAAATCAGCATTTTTAATCAGTAGAGTTATTAAACATCTTGTATGCTTCTTTAAATGTTATTGAGAATTCTGTTATCTTTGTATAAGTCTCATTTTGGTAAGAGATACTTGTTGGTACAGTGGCTTTCGATCAGATATACAGGGTGTCCCTGAACAGAATGGACAACGCTTGACCACAGGTTCCTTGGATGAAAATAAGACTATTTAGCCTAACTTATATATATATAAAAGTGCACGCCTACTGAGATATAGCCCTCTAAATATAGAATAGATAACAGTTTTTTTGAAATAATTTGAAAACTATTTTTCTTAGAAACTTCAAATTTGATACACTTATTTTTTATATAAGGGCAATGTAAATATTTGGTGAGAATACATATACGAGATGTTCTCTTTCTAGTGCCTGTGCGCCACTGGCTACTTTTTTATGTGTGCGCCAATGATGACAGAATTTATATTTTTGAAAATAAGCATTAATTTAGAAGATTTTTTGCTCTTACAAAATTTTGATATCGTTTATGGATTTCGAGTAAAACTGGCATTTTTTTATACATTAAATATAGGCAAAAATTCCGATTTGTAAAAAATAATTTATAACTGCAGCCTCAAAACAGGGAATAATAATGAAAAAACGTCACATAACTATACATTTTTAGTATTAGTATTATCAATCAATAAAATAAAAATCAACACTAATATTTTAAATAAACAGTATCAACTAATAATATAAGAAAGTCAACATTAACATTTTAAGTAAACCTAAATTGATATTTGTAATCACATTAAAATAATATTACAGTAAATGCTCAGTTATTTCCTTGTTCTTAAACGCAAGCATTAGTTCTTCGAAAATGAAAATGAATTTTATCCAATAATTGTGCATTACCTCTCATAACACAGTTAATTTTGAAGAACAGCAAGAACTCGATGAGATTTAAAAATTAATTATTTTGTAATAAATGTTTTTTAAAAAATAAAACATATTTTCAATAAAACCTCTTTCGCCATTTATAATTTTCATTTTTCGAACCTCTATTTTACAAATATGACCGAGTCTGATTTAAAATCGATAATAGTTAAATAAATTGTTTAAAATAGTCAGCCATATTGGATCAGCCATTTTGAATTTTTATTCTCCGACTTCATATTCTTGTTCAGCGACATCGTCAATTTGAAAGAATTCGATTTAAAATTCACAAAATTATTTTAAATGTTCTTAAAAAAAATATTTATTATTGTTTAAACAATTAAAAAACAATTAGCGTACAAAAATAAGTTTTTCTAAAAACGTCAAAAAATTACAAGGTTTGTGCATTGACAACAATATGCGAAGTGACACTTTTTTTCGGATTCTTACGTTACCATGACACCCTGCGCGAAATACTTCGCGCACTAGGGTGCGAAGTATTTCGCACACTGCATGTAAATTAATAAGAGTTTTGTATTTCAACCTTTAAAAAAATGAAGCAAAACTCCAAATTATTATTTATTTTTAAATGAATAACAATTAAATACTTTTAAAATAATGATAGAATTTTACAATAACTTTAGTTATTATTTACAATATTAACATTAATCGTACAACCAGTACACGAACCAATATTTATTCCTAAACTTTGTTTCCATAGTAACAGTGAAAATTTGATTAGGAAAGACATTTTAAGTCAGCTCAACACTAGGTATTTTCTATAATAAATTAGGCATTTTACTTATTTATAATATTTTTAAGAGATAGATTTTGACGTTTGTAGAAAAAATATTGTTTACATCTCGTGCGCGAACTACTTTGGTGGTCTCGAATAATTTTTTAACTCGGCTTCGCCTCGTTAAAAAATTCAATTCTCGATCACCAAAGTAGCATTTCGCGCACTAGATACAAAAGTAACTATTATAACTTTTTTCTAATAATTATCTCCAAGTAATTTCAAAAGGTTTTAGGAAAATCAATGCTTCCCATAATTATTTCGAAATAATGCGTAATTTTAAGCTATCTTGACTCCACTAAAGATTTTGAGTCGACAAACGTCTTTGTACGTGTCTATACCTACGCACGCACTTTTACAGAAAACGGTCGTTCTTTGTAGTTAGAAAACGCATTATTTCAATAACTTGGAAGCAATTGTTTATATGAACCCTTATTTCAATTTATGCGGCAAAAATCGTTATTAAAATTTGTAATGCAAGCACAACTTACCATTTGTTATTTGACTATATTGCTATATTGCAATCCCTAATTACTATTCTTCAATTATAAACCAAAAAATGAATGGGTTATACAAGAAAATCAAAAATCCCCATTGAAATAATAGATCTACATCGAATAACCAGCTAAACCACTTCAATTTGCCATAGTGCGTCGAATCCCTAATTCAATAATTTGTATCCACTTATTAGAGAGTGTTTTCGGCACGTGCGCATAATTTCCATTCCGCATTAGGGCTGTTGCAAGAGGGACGTTTTAACAATTCGTTAGACGGGAAACACGTGCTTGACATGATAGGCATAATAGAGATTACCATAAAACTACATCTATATTTTCCTTTTCAGAGCCGAATACTAGAGGATGCCTCGATAATGTGCAATTCGTGGTCTCCAAGGCATAATGTGAGTCCACTGATTAATATTTACTTACGCTGTATGTTCTGTCGATATTACACATATTATTAAATCTATGTCATAACTTAAGGAGTTTATTCATCATTTTAAACTAAAATGCCTTAACTGTTCAAAGGGTTAGACCCTTTGATTTTCGAGATATATACAAAGCGTTGAAGTTCACAAAGAATATGTCACGTTTATTGTAATATCTATATTTCCGAAGATGTTTATCTGTTAATTAATAATACTCGTATAATTAAGAGAAAAAGTTTACAAATTTGGATCAATTGGATAGTGGCGATATACTGAAAAAAACTTGTTACTGAGATCTGCAGAACTTTGACAATAGACAGCTCAATCTTTTAGAAACTAGATTAGTGCTTTTAATTCAAAAAGTAACCATTTTCGAATTATTGCTTTTATTGATTTAATATACAGGGTGTTCCAGATAGACCTTCAATTAGACGTTTCTGGAAAACTACGCGTACTGGAATTCTGAAAATTTATGTACGGGGATTTCTCCTAATGTTCTATCGATTGAAAATATTGGCGTCGCCGTGGAACTTCCGGTTCTACCGGAAGTAGACGTTAACTCGCTTATTTCAAATGGAATGTGCAATTTTTTATTTAATTTTTGGATTCTACATCGAATTTTAAGGTAAGTTTCATAACCTTACTTTATCATTAAACTCGATAGTTTTTGAAATATTTTGACTTTTTAAAAATATTTGAAAAAAAAACATACCTACACTTAATCGATTCTATCTCCTCCAATTTTTAAGATAGGAAGCTGAAATTTTAGATGGTCAATACCAGAACGTGTCCAAATATCTGGAATATTCGAAAGATGGTGCATGTTACACAGGGCATCTAAGAAACACGAACCAATTGTGTCAAATTGAAAGTTTAATAACTCGCTTATTTTAAATAGAACACCCTGTGTTTTATAATGCCAGTAGATACACCTGTTAATTCTCTTTCCATAGGAATAAGCATTCCCTATACCTAAATCCCACCGATTTTGAGATATTTGAACATAAGTACGGAGACGAATATAATCCGACAGTTAGCTGTAGGTTGGCTGTGGAAAAACATTTAAATGTCACCAAGTGTCATTACTTATTTAGCAGATTTGCTGTCATTACTGTAAATCGAGTTTGTCGATTTTCCAAGTGTCTTTAATAACAATGGCACACTCTGGGTACACACACGACGACTACACATCGGGGTAAATCGCCAGGTTGCAAATGGTGTATTAACATAAATGAAAATGGCTTCCATTTATGCTTCTTCAGAATTCTGTGAATAGTTCCTATTGATAGACGTGAATTTATTATACATCTCTAATTGACGCCTGTGGATAAGCGCTGAAAAATGCCAATACATTTACTTCATTTTCTTCGTTGTCCTACTTTTATCATGTTCCGGGAGAAACTTTCCATTCTCAGAACAATTCTTTAATAGTCTTCTGACCATATCATGACTTGGTATGTGCTTATTTGGATATCTTTCTGCAAACACGCGACATGTTCTACTAACAATTTTATTACACTCGTGTCTGTACCCAGAGTGTACCATTGTTATTGAAAACACTTGGAAAATCGACAAACTCGCTTTACAGCAATTACAGCAAATCTGCTAAATAAATAATGACACTTGGTGACATTTAAATGTTTTTCCACAGCCAACCTAAAGTTAACTGTCGGATTATATTAGTATCTGTACTTATGTTCACATATCTCAAAATCGGTGGGATTTAGATATAGCGAATGCTTATACCAATGGAAAGAGAATTAGCAGGTGCGTCTACTGGCATTATAAAACACAGGGTGTTCTATTTAAAATAAGCGAGTTATTAAAATTTCAATTTGACACAATTAGTCCGTGTTTTTTAGACGACCTGTGTAACGTGCACCAACTTTCGAATATTCCAGATATTTGGACACGTTTTGGCATTGACCATCTAAAATTTTAGCTTCCTATCTTAAAAATTGGAGGAGATAGAACCGATTAAGTGTAGGTACGTTTTTTTCAAAAATTTTAAAAAAGTCAAAATATTTCAAAAACTATTGAGTTTAAGGATAAAGTAAGGTTATGAAACTTACCTTAAAATTCAATGTAGAATCCAAAAATTATATAAAAAATAGTACATTCCATTTGAAATAAGCGAGTTGACGTCTACTTCCTGTAGAACCGGAAGTTCCACCGCGACGCCAATATTTTCAATCGATAGAACATTAGGAGAAACCCCCGTACATAAATTTTCAGAATTCCAGTACGCGTAGTTTTCCAGAAACATCTAATTGAAGGTCTATCTGGAACACCCTGTATACGTATTTAGGAATATTTGAATAACTGTGATATCTTTTTAAACTTTAACATTCGTTGCATTTTTGAACATTACAGTTTTTTGGTTTAAAACAATCTTTTGAAATTATTCCGTATATGTATATTCTTATGTAAATTATAAATTCTTAAGTTAACTACTTTTACATTATATTCTGGCACTTATAGGATAAAAATTGTACGCCCCTGTAATTTTGTACAGGGTGAGTTTTAAAAAATCACTAAGGCAAATTAATTTTTTATTTTGGGGAAAACCCATTTTGATATCAAAGTTCTTCTCTCACTCCCGGTAATTGCCACCCCTAAAATTTTAAATGAGGTAGTAAGTCAAATAATATTCATTTAAAATGTCTTTTCATTCTGTACAGGGTGATTCACTATATTTTGACCCCCCTTTAACTTTTTTGTTGTAAGAGTTATAAAAAAATGTTAAATATAAGAGTTGCACGATTTTTTAAGAAATTTTCAAAAATGATAGTAGAAAAACAAATGAAGTCCAAACAAAATGGCCGCGGATGTTAACTTTGTTAAGTTAAATGGAATACCCTGTATATTTTTACATATTTGGATAGAACGTTCCCTGTAGAGCATAGCCATATAGGATTTATTGGGTCCATCGCTAACAATAGGCGAGATACTATTAAAAAACGAAAATAAGGTTTTTTTATTAAGAAAATAAGACATCTTGTAATTGTTAAACCTTTTTCAGGCATTTCTGCCTTTTTCCAATTACGTAAGGATTTACAGATTTAGTTATAATATATTTTGACAGATCGGACATTGATACGGTCCAAAATGTGTATAGGTAATGTAACGAAATCTCACTAATTAGGTCGTGAGAGGTCTAATTACTCATGGACATTATATGATAGGTCGTGACAGTGACAGGTAGTAATGTCTTGACAACATTGTTATTGATTGACAGTATGTATAATTATTTAATTAAAATATGTTACACAGAAGTAGAAAATTATTTATAATTAAAATAGAGTATGGAGAAGAACATTGCTCTATCTTAATTCCTATAATATTTCAATTTTCTACTTCTTGTAACCCATTTTAATTAAATAATAATACAAACTGTAGATCAATAACAATCTTGTCATGAGATTACCTGTCACTGTCACGGCCTACCATATAACATTGTCCATGAGTAATTAGGCCTCTCACGGCCTAATTAGTGAGATTTAGTTACAATACATATACGCATTTTGGACCATATCAGTGTCCGATCTGTCAAAATATATTATAACTAAATCTGTAAATCCTTACATAATTGAAAAAAAGGCAGAAATACCTGAAAGAGGTCTGACAATTACAAGATGTATTATTTTCTTAATAAAAAAAACTTCTTTTCGTTTTTTAATAGTATCTCGCTTATTGTTAGCGATGGACCCAACAAACCCTACATGACTATGCTCGACTGGGAAGGTTCTATCCAAATATGTAAAAATATACAGGGTATTCCATTTAACTTAACAAAGTTAACATCCGTGGCCATTTTGTTTGGACTTCATTTGTTTTTCTACTATCATTTTCAAAAAATTCATAAAAACTCGTGCAACTTTTATATTTAACATTTTTTTATAACTCTTAAAACAAAAAAGTTAAAGGGCTACAGCATTTGCTCAAAATGTCCACCGCCATTTTCGATGCACGCACGACACCTTCGAATCCAATTTTCGAGCACTCGTTGGAAAATGCCCGGATTTATCAATATTTGATGGGCAGCGGCAAAATTCGTTCTCGCAAGTATTCGACTGGCAAATTGCAGACCATCTGATGAATTGCGTATTGTTGAACAGCTTAGTACCTCGTGTTAACCGCCGCGCCGTTGTCACGTTGCTCGATATGAATTTTATCGAATTTTAAATTTATTACAACGCTAATTATTTTTCTGAATTATCCATAAAGAAGTTCAAAAAAGTTATAAACACTGTATTTTATGGTATTCTATGCACGCAGTTATGTCAATATCTCTTAATTAATCGAAATTTTCTACATTTTAATTTTTTCTCGGAAAATGGTTGAGTTTAGGAGTTTAGGTTTAGGTTTTATGTCATATAAGTTTTTTTTTGTTTATTTAAATGTATTCTATCGTATGTTAAAATTAAAGCAGTCAAACTTGTAACACTCTGTATAAATTTAAAAAATTATAATTTGAAGGAAATAACCCAAATTTATCGTAAACTGTAGATAATTTTTATAGCGTGAACTATACATACTTTATATCAAAGGTGAATTATATCTCACGCTCATTTATCTATGCTATGACATCAAAAATGATATTACCTATTTTTAAGTGCAAACTTTTTTACAGCTAACTCAATTTACTATTAAATAAATAATACATAATGCTATGTTAATTCAAGATATTTCAACTAAATTTAATACGGAGAAGTTTTTGGTTTTAATCTGTCTCGTTTTTTATTGGATTTGGGAGTATTCTGATACAGCTACTTCACTAATTTATTAAATTATTTATTATTCTCATTTTTTTATAACTTAGACAACCTTACCTTTATCACAGACAATATAGCTTATCGCCACAGACCGCGCTTTAAAACTACGAATTTACCTAATTAATTATTTATTTCAAAAAATTAAAAAATGTAAAATTTCCTTAAGAATAGTTTTTTAATTTTTTATTTAATAAAATT